ATATGAAGATTGCAAAAGTACGGCTGTATTACGCGCACAATTTATTTATTTAAATAAATTAAATCCTAATCTGATATACACGGTGCATCACCAAAATCCGGATAAATCGAACAATTTCTTTAAATAAAATGTTTTTAATGAAAAATTAAATATTACAAAAAATCGTTTTACGTGGCACTTGGGGAAGCACAATTGTAGAGCACAATTATTCGATATATCCCCCATTAGCTTGAATGACAGCTTCTATTCTCGGTCTGAAGCATTCACACGCACGCTGTAATGTAGCGCTGTCCATGCTGACGAATGCTACTTCAATAGCGATCCTTAATGACGTCACATTGGGATACCGAGACTTGTTTGTAACCCTTTCAACTACGTTCCATACGTAGTCTAGGGATTTAAATCTGGACTGTTGGGAGGCCAGAATTCCTTGGATCAAAACATATCGACGTTATCTGAGAGCCAATTTTGAATCAAATGACTCGTATGAGCCGGTGCACCGTTCTGCTGAAAAACATATGGCCTTCCGGACGCCCACGTCACAGTTTCCATCCACGGCTTCACTACATCCATCAGAACGCACAAATACACTTCCTTTGACAATTTCCCCTTTTTTAAAAAAATATGTGGCATGACAACACCTAGCACGTGAACATTGGCCGGAAATTTCGTTCTGGCAACAACAGGGACATCCTCGGGGTAGACGAGCCATCGGTCATTTCTCCAATTGATTTTAACATCAACAGTAAAAATTTTTTCGTCAGAAAGAAATCTAATTCATCTCGACGCTTCATTTTTCAAAGAACACAATAACAGATTGCATCGAGCAACTCGACTTGTCCTGGCAGCCTCAGAGCCATCTGTATCTTTAATGTGTATGATTTGTATCGAAGGTCCTCCTCGGCAATTCGACGCATTGTTGGCTCGCTTACACTAACAATCAATGCTAATTTTTCGCAACAATTGCCCTGAGTCATCCGAAATCAGCGCTTGAGCCCTTTCAATGACTGCGGGAGTCCTCGCAGTGCGTTCTTTCGAGTTACTCTTCCTTCCTGGCATACTGGAACCTTCGTTGGACTGTTCTAAAGCCGTATGTTTTGCCACAACGTCATAAACGATTTATCTCGAGTATCCAAAGAATCGAATTATTTCCGTTGCTGAGCGCCCAGCGCGAAAATCGATGATTGTGGCTCTTTGATTATATTCCACACTTGATTTCAACATTGCGGCCATTTTGAGAATATGACTGCTTACTAGAAGCATCAGGCTTTCTTGGATGCCAACAACAACCTTTGGCAGAGGCACAATATAGAAAATTTAAGTTGAAATTTGTCCGGATTTTGGTGACGCACCCTATACATCTAATTTTAATCCGCACGATTATATAACTCATTCGTATATACACAAATGCCTATTTTTTTATACATAATTGAAATCGTGCAATATAATTTGTTCGCACATATACATCGTGTGATTATCATAGGTACACGAGCTTGCGCGTATGTAGGTATGCGTACGTACGTGCGTGCGTGCGTGCGTGCGTGTTTGTGGGTAAGAAGTGTTATTTTAACTCACAATGGCTTTCCTTATTTTGCTAATTCGGTTTTTAGCAGCACCAAATTTTTTGTAGAAAGTATTTTTTATTAAAATTGTTTTATTTCGTTCTGTTACGTCCTTAATTCTCTGTGATAATCCTTGAGTTAAAAAGATAACGCAATTTGAATTTCATTTTTTAATTTTATACAACAGAGATTTACGTTCAAGGTTCATATATAACTTGAATTGACCGAGGTAACAATTTTTAAAGATTATAATACATAGCGACCATTATTGATATCATTTCTTTTACATACGTATCATTCAAATTAAGTATAATATTTATTTATGGAATTTTAACTTGGTGGCAAATATACGTTTTGTAAACTAAATACTATAATTTAAGTTGCAATTCTTAATTTATAATTTAGCGCGCATTATTGATATCCAATCTTTTATATACCATATACATATCGTTCAAATTAAATAGAATTTTTTATGAGACTTTAATAAATATAAAAATACGTATCACTTAGGTTTCATCATATATTTTAATTTAATAAAAATTTTTTTACAGAGCACGTATCCACAGCACTTTTTTACCTTTTTTTAAAAAGGTAAATGTATACTGATATCTCATGCATTTTATAGTGTTTAACGTCTTCTTATAAACAGTATGTGAATTAATCAATTTAGTATATATTTTTTTCCGAAGAACCAAAGAATAGGCACTCTTAGCACTTTTTTCTACCATTTTTTAAAACGGTAAACTTGTGCTGATATCATATATTTGTAGTGTAATGTTTAATGTTTCCCTATAAATTCATTTTTTAATTTAGTAAAATTTTTTCTCGCAAAACATGTATTTGTAACGCTTTCTTATCTTTTTTAAAAAGATAAATTTGTATACTAATATCATGACTTTTTTATTGGCATAAGTTTTTAACGTTTTTCTATATAAAAGATATTAATTGCTTTAGTACATTTTTTACGAAGATTTTTAACTGTAACGTCAGAGAGGAAAGTCACTCAATCATTACTCATAACGAGTTGGAACGGTCACTCGTTTCCGAAAAATATGTGTAGTACTTCGTTAGCATAAAATTAGTGTAGTCAGATATCATTGCAATCATAAAAAACTGCAATGTCGTTATCAAGTAGTTTTTATAAATGACAGAAATGATAAAATTTACGGCGTTTTAAATTTTACTTCTCATCCTTGCATTTTTTACAAATATATTTTATATAAAATAATCCTTTTCAGTTAGTTATTTAGATAATTCATAAAATAGAACCATGAAAAGATTCTTAACTGTAGTAATTTAAACTTTGGGTGTAAGTAAACTTGTTTTTTAGTGTTTTAAATATAACAAGTAAGTATTGACCAATAAAATAATTCATAGAACATATGAAATTAAATTTAAGAAATCATAAAACATAATATGTACTATGTGTACAGACATAAGTTACAGTTAAAATTATTCTTTTCAGTAATTTTTACTTAATTTTATTCCTTTTTTCAATCTGTAATTATTACTTAACATAGACCTACGGCATACGATACTTGTTTTCTTGCAACATATCCTGTAACCTTCCCAAAGTTAGCAGTTACCCATCACACGTCAAAAAATTATTAAAAATGAAATAGGGAATTCAACTCCGATGAGGCTGACCTTGACATATATTGTCAAGGTAATAACCTTGAGTGACTATCGAAGGGTTTTGGCAATTAGTTATTAAAAAGTTATTAAGATTAAAATGAACAATCCAATAATCTTGACCTTTACACACATTATGAAGGTCATTGCACCGAATAATCTTCGAAAGGTTTTAGCAGTCGTTCTCGTTGCATGTTACAAAATTATTAAAAATAAAATGGAGAATTCAACTCCGATAACATCAACCTTTACATATATTGCCAAGGTAATGACCCTGAGTAACCATCGAAGGGTTTTATCAGTCGCTCGTTGATTATTAAAAAATTATTAAAATGGACAATTTACCTCCGTTGACCTTGACCCTCCCATTTATTATGAAGGTCATCACACCAAATAACTTTCGAAAGGTTATAGCAGTAACCCATCACACGTTACAAAGTTATAAAAAAATTACCTTGACATATATTATCAAGGTCATGACCCTAAGTGATTATCGGACAGTCGTTTCAGCAGTCGATCGTTGTTCGTTAAAGAATTATTAAAAAGTAAAGTAAAAAGGTTGAGATCGCCATCTATCGACTAAAGTTCGAGATGTAATAGGCCAAGCAAACGACGACATTAATAGTAATAGTAATAATGACAATAATGCTTCTTAAAATTTGAAAAAAATTTGAAACTTGTTGCAATATCTTCATTCGTAGAGCAAATAGAAAAAGAATAAAAGCACTTTCATTATACAATTCAGGTTAAAGATATGGACCATATTGATTATATATAGAATTTGATCGGCACATCCATTATTGAGATATAATAATCGAGATCTCGGAAAACTCACCGCTCCGTGTAAAGGGACTCGGCACTGTCTCGCTCTAAAACGCTACGCATTTTCTTAGTGCCGAAACATTACCGTATCTCTGGATCAATTTTGTTACATGCACAACCATTGCATATGAGTAGCCTATAGTTATATAGCTTTATTGCACATATTGTATTGCAAATTGTATGTTATATCAATTATTGGCTGCGTTCCATTATTCATTTTAAGTACTATAAGTCTACAGTATACATATTGTAAAGTATAGATTTCCAATGTTTGCGATGTATAACGGAATGCAGCCTTTATATGGTACTTCTTTTAGATCGGAATGGTGCAAGATTCACAATAATCATTGTCGCCCTAGACATTTCAGTATCCCTTGGCGATGAGAAGTAAAAGTCTGGCCATCTTCTAGTTGGAAATGGCGTATACATATACATACACGTGCATTTATGTGTGCAATGACACAACTGTATAAGGAGTTTTACGTATCTGCTTTTCAATTTTTTCACACTCAGGCATTATCAGATTGATTCCGCCATTTTTCATCCAACCAATCAAAAATAGAATAAGATTGATCAAACTTATTGCCAGGGACACTAGACCTTTGACTATAGACAGCTCTGTGGTATTATGCAATTGATATTGACAGCGTAGCATTTTAATTTGTTCAATGTCTAAACAGTTTTTTCAAATTTTACCGACACCGCCTCGCGAACTAGGATCTAGACAATTTTCCAATATTGGGACTACACCACATCGCGAACCAGGGCCTAGATAATTTTTCAAAAATGAGATTGGTCATTATTGCCGATACCTCCCAATATAGTCCCAGGCTAACCTTCCAACATCGCGCCTGCATTAACTCGCGGAAAACTAGATGCTCATATAGCGCTGGGTCATAATTTCCACCCAGATAATTAGTAGTATTAATATCACGGTTAAAAGTTATAATTACAGTCATTGACTGTATTGAATTAATTTATTACCATAAATTCTGGCAGTTGAAAACCGATGCCTCCTTGTAAGCAACATTGTGGTACTGTGCCATTAAATCCTCTGCTTTGGCCAGTTGCTGTTTACATAATATACTTAATTACTTATACTTAATTTGTATTTTGAAAAATGGCAAATTAACATAAAAAGGTAGTAATTTTTTATTACACACCTGTTAAATCGTGATCTACAAACTGCCCCCACTGCATTAGCATGTGAGTAACAGAAGCTAGAGGTACGTCTTTGTTTTCATGGATTAAGCTTGTAATATCTCGTGCGCTTGGGAGTGGTCTTCCGTTCTTCGATCTTCTAATACTTTGAACGCCATCGTGATAATCCGGTTGAAGAAATCTGAATAAATATCTATTTTAAATGACACCTCATCGATTTGAATGTTTACATATGTAGTAGAAGAGAATGTCCTGATTCCTCACAAAAATGAAGTAGGGTATTGATTTAGAAGATATAATAAAGCTTCATAATAAAGTCATAGCATATACGACTTTCTATGAAGTAATTTTCTTTGGAAAGTCGGAGCGCATGACTTTCCAAAGAAATATGTTGAATCGGAAAGTCGTGCGCCTCGAAGCAGAGAAGGGAAGTGGGATGGGAGTCCTTCACGTAGAAGTCGTGCATCCTTACGCAAGGGAGAGGTGGGGTCGAAGTCGCATTGCGTAGAAGTCGTGCGTCCCTAAGAAGGAGGTGGGATAAGAGTCGCTTCATGTCATGACCAGAAACAGGGGCGAGGCGGAGTGAAAGAGAGAGTATACTCTTATATGTACCAATATTATCCCCTATTATAGCATTTTAATTTACTATATCTCCTAAACCAATGCCGTCCTCCATTTAATTCTTGTGGGGAATCGTTCAAGACACTTTCCCCTACAACATATCTAAAGAACATTGAAATCGGTATCACTTAAAATAGATATTTATCAAAATCTGAACGTGATGATAATTTTTTAACAGTTAAAACGCTTTTTACTTTTATATTTAATATTTTGTATTTTTATTTTTATATTCAGAGATTGTTCACACATTGCTTGTATTTACCTCTGCATTGTAGACATAGCGGATCCCCACCAGAGATTCTGCAGATTGTTGCAGCTGCCGTCAGACGTTCTGTATCTTAAGCTAGCTCGTGGACATTGGGGTGGATCTCTTTGTGGACATTGTTGTTCCAACGAGGTTCTTTTAGTTAACTTATTTCGGATTAAGGGTAATTCCAATGGCGTATTAGGAAACCTGATAGGACGATCGGAATAGGAATAGTCGTAAAGTTTCTTATTCCGACATTAGAAATTTACCATTATTATAGAAACTTACTTTTTTAAAAACATAGAGGTACCTTGAAGAGCTGCATATCCGAATCTTGCAAGATCTCTTGCTTCCTCCGATTGATCATTAAATGCTGCTACATATCTCGCTGGATTGTCGCTCTCCAGATAAAGACCTGTATGTTGATTTTATACATGAAGACTTTTTGTAGATACGCATTTAATTATAATGATTAACTCGAAATGATTCACGCCATGAATTAATGAATTTTCTTTAAGCACTTACCCATTGAATATAATTTAGGTTCTTGGACATAATAAAGATCATGCATAGCTTGTAATCCATACTTCGCAGCTTCTAGTAAAGCGTCTTCCTCAGATTCCCATTTTTGTTCATCGGTATGACTATCCAGAGTTTGATTATCGGCTTTCGCTTCAACGTTCTGTGTTTCCCTATTGATCAGTCGAATCGAGGTATTGTCCGATTTTTTAGAATGTATTTTCATCATCAAAATGCCACTGATGTTAGAATATTTATTTGTTTGAACGTCATCATTCCGAAAAAACTTCACTTGTTGTGAATTGTTATTTTTTGAATTATTCAACGATTCTGAAATTTTGATGCCCGTATTATTCAGCGATCCGGTCAAAAATTTCTCTTTAAGTCTATCTTCCATCTTTCTGATTTTTTTATCTTCTATTTCGCTTGTTGTTATTTCTGTTACTTCGGAGATTTCAGAAATATGGGATGCATTCAAAAATTTATGTCGAATTCCATCTCCTGTCTGATTTGTCTCTTTCGTAGGAATGTACATGATTTTATAGGAATTTCTTGGCTGTAACACATCCGCTGCTACCTCTTGTGTCTCTCTCCTTAGTAATTTCGGTACGTATTTCAAATGCGCTGTTTCGCCAGGATACGGAGCATTTGCGTCGTTTTCTTGAATCTCCAATATTAAAGGGTGTTTATAATCCAACGAAATGTTTACTCGCTTTGACATTTGACTCTTAGTGTAATTTTCTGTTTTATCGTTCGCTTCCCTCGATTTCGATAATGCGCAGGAGAGGGAAGAAACGACCAGGCTACAATTAAAATTACAACTGTACTATATGCAAATACAATATGAAATTTGTAACGCATGCTTGTGTCTCGTAAAGAGAATATTAGGTATAAAATTCACACTCTTGCTGATGTCTAGTAATCTAAATAATAATTACAAATATTTTTAAAAAGCAGATGTTTAGTTTATGGCTTTTTAATTTTTAAAGCATTTTGTATTTCGATAGCAATCTAACTTTCACTGATGTGTGCATGAGTTCTGATATCGACCGTGTTCAAAATATAATCATTCAAACAATGTCACGTTTTATCTATTTATGACATTGACCTTATCGTGAATTACATGATTGAGAACATGAGTTTTTTATTCAAACTCACGATAAAATGTACCGTTTATCACAATAAATGTTCTCCTCTTTTTACATTCTCCTATATCAGAATATTTAAGTAAATATTTGAAGACTTGTCATCACAAAATATAATTATATAAATTGAATTTTATAATATTGTGACATATAGAGAGGGCTAAATCGTTACTTTTACCAAATAGTTATAATAGTAATATAACTATATTACTTCAAAATAATCATATTACAGTATTTCCTTACTTACAAATAAATAATTAATTAAACAGTTATTCCGTTAAATGATACTAACAGTTTATCATAACATTATTAGAAAATAATTTAACCAATTATCAGTTTAATTAATTAAGCGCTTATTATGTGAATAATTATTCAATCGTGGAATATTAGTTGCATTCACTAAACAAAATTTTGCAACTATTAAAAGGTTATCATCTACGATTGGAACATTCTTTTAGAGCTTTGATAGCAATATTAATCAGTTAAATCCAAAAGGATTTATCAATTAGGAACAATAATTGTTAAACACTTAATAACACTGTAAAAAAATTTGATCTTTTTGCCACACAAGTGTGACTAATTTTTGACATATTTTTGCATGTTGAATACAAATCCATGAACAAGAATCCATACAACACACTAATGTTGAATCAATGTCAGAATTTGAATTGCAACAATGCGAAATGTAAATTTAATGTTGAAGAGACGTTGCATTTCCGTTGAATTGTAACGTCTGTGAGACATAAAAAATTTGTTCGCTTATTAATTTAATTTTATTATTAAAATAAGTATTATTGATTAACAACATATTCCAGAACACACACGATTATAACTGACAAAATTATAATTATACTGAAAAAAAACATTTTCTCCTATATTTGAAAATTAATTACTTTATTTTTCTAAGTAGTCACTCATCCAGCAGTACTGAATCTCTACAATCGTACGGAAATTGCTGCTTTGATGATTCAAGAACACTAAATTAAGTTAGTGAATAATTGTGACGTATAAATATGTAAAAAGACCATAAGTCGCGCATCGGACCAGTCAAACACAAACAATATCACATGCGCGAACATTCTGTACGCACGATCGATTTCTGCTTAAACATATATCGTTTAAAAATGAGATTCATTAAAAGATCAATATAAGTGATTTAAATTTTTTTTCTATTTACATGACATTATACTTTTATTTATTTTTTATAAATTAATATTTTTATAAGTTAGATTTTGATAAACAGAGTCATTCAGGATAAACATTTGTCCTAAAAGTGTCATATTTACAGACTTCTATAAATAGCCGACTTTGCTTCCATGTTTGAAGTGCTGGGCAGTGCCATATTTGTATTCACTCATTCTCACATAGGTAGATCACACAAATAACGTTAGTGCTTTCACATAAATTCACGCGATACTCACTGATAGGATGCATACATACGCGTATGGAAATTAAAACTACACACGCGTGATCATGTACAGGGTGCATCACTAAAATCCGTACGAATTTCAATTTCAATTTTCCACTATATTGTGCCTTCGCCAGAGGTTGTTAGCGTCCGGGAAAGCCTGATACTTCTAGTAAACAGTCATATTCTCAAAATAGTCGCGATGTTGAAACCAAGCGGAATATAATCGAAGAGCCGCGATCATCGAAGGCCTTCGTGCTGGGCGTTCAGCAACAGAAATAATTTAGTTCTTTGGAAATCAACCGTTTATGACGTTGTCGCAAAATATATGGATTTAGAACAGTCCAACGAAGGAGTTCCAATCAGCGAGGAAGAGTCACTCGAAAGAACGTATCACGAGGACCCCCGTAATCGTTGAAAGGGCTTAAGCGCTGATTTCGGATGACACAGGGCAATCGTTGCGAAAATTAGCATCGATTGTTGGTGTAAGCGAGCCAATGCGTCGAATTGCCGAGGACCTTCGATACAAATCGTACACATTAAAGATACGACAGGTGCTTTCTGAAGCTGCCAGGACAAGCCCGTTGCTCGCCTCGGCTCCCATTCTGGCCTTTCAACAGCCCAGATTTAAATCTCTTGTACTACTACGTATGGAACGTTGAAAGAGTCACAAGTCTCGGCAATGTGACGTCATTAAGGACCGCTATTAAGGCAGCATTAGTCGGCATGGACAGCGCCACCTTACAACGTGCGTGCGAACGCTTCAGACCACGAATAGAGGCCATCATTCAAGCTAATGGGAGATATATCGAATAATTGTCCTCTACAAGGATTCCCGAAATGCCATGTAAAAGAATTTTTTGTAATATTTAATTTTTCATTAAAAACATTTTGTTTAAAGAAATTGTTCTATTTATCTGGATTTTGGTGACGCACCCTGTATATACAACGACATTCTCTCTCTCTCTCTCTCTCTCTCTCTCTCTCTATCCCTTCCTCCTCCTGTCTACTTCATCTCCACTCCCTGCCTAAGCACACTCACTCACTCACACACACACACACACACACACAATTATCTTGTAAACAGTTGATGATTTCATTTGCAGCTTGAGAAAAAAGAACTTCCATTTTGATGAATCAGTTCCAAACAAATGTTTATTAAATTTTCGTTCCTCTGTAAGAGATTTACTAGATTAGGGTTAGAATTTCGTCCTTAGCGCGCTAGTTTTAAATGGCGTAGTTGTTTGTAATGCGCATGCGTATAGCGTGTTCCTTTATTATTCCTTCAGACCACATGATAGGCGCGGATTGGCTTGATTCTTATGCTCGTGCGATAAAATTGGTGGAGAGTGCCCGACAGGGCGCATCAGAGAGCAGATGTGAAAGAAAAGATGAAGAGCATGTATGTCAAAACGACGAGAGTCAGAATAAAAGTGCTATCTTCCAAAGTACGAGAACCCGTTTCTTGACTCTTTCCTTAGTTTGCTCAAATAATCCTCTCCTGACATTTTTCCGATTATCTTTACGATTCTGAGCGACGACACGTTGTCGCCCTCCGGATCTTATCCACTTTCGTAAGGAGATTCCTTCTCTTTTCGAGGCTTAAGGCAGTAAATCTAATTTTTCTCATCGCGGCTTACAGCTAACCATCTCAGAAGTGGTAATTTCGGCCTGTGCTTTGGCTAGTGCTCCATAACATGTTTCGCGTTTTGTTCATCTAAAAATTATCACTTTCGCGACGGCTCCGCCATTTTGATTCAATAGTTATGCGAGATCAACCATCTTGATTATGCGCGTGTGGTACGTACTCGAACTTCACCGTAATTAAAAAATTTTTCTTTCCCTTTTTCTCCGTATGCTTTGTGAAATAACATTCACAATGGATCGTCCTATTTTGGAAGATCTGACTCTGCTTCAGCTACAAGAGAAATTAACTCAAAATGGTTTTCCGTCTCTAGAAACTCGCGCAAGATGTATCGAAGCCTTATTAATTCATTACGAAAACTGCGCATCTTCAAATCTGATTTCTCTGGGAGATATACCAGGAACCTCTACATCTTTAATCTTAGATGCACAAAGACAGACACCGTTCAATGCAAATTCATCATCCAATCCAGGTCAGTCGTTATCATCCCCAGAAATCTTTCATCAATTGCTTGTCGGTCTTATGGAACATATGAAACAACAGCCATTGTTGCTTGCTCAATTAGTCAATCTAAACATTAATGATCATTCATCGATGCAAAGTGCAATAATTCAACCTACAATACACACGCACATTATCTCTCTCAGTGGTTCAAGTGGTAGTGATGGTGGTCTTCCTTTTGCAGGTATAAGCGATTACATTATTAGCATCGCAAATCCCAGTTTTTCATGGATTCAAAATGTAGGCACTATCGCTCGTTCAATGTAAAGTTCATGATAAAGTAATACTGCTAGTTGTACTTCTTAAAAATTACAAAAGTACGCTCGTGACTGGTACGACATGGAAGCAATTCTTGTCAATGATTTTTGGATCTTTTTCAAGAATTCAATTTTAAAAATATTTCGCGTAGACATCCCTTTTCATGTTTTAATGCAAAAGATGAAGGCTAGGAAGTGGAATTTCAATAAAGAAACATTCCAAGAATATACTCTTCAGAAAATTAAGATGCATAGATTACAAGAATCCAAGAGAAATAAAATTCAATTGCTAATCAACGGAACCAACAGCGCTTCTCTTAGAGCTTCTGCCGCTGTTTGAAAGCTAACACTGGATGAATTTCTTTTTCGAATGCAAAGAGTGACAAGTTCTTTCACTGTCAATCTCAAGAAAATCGCTTACTTATACTAAGAAAAAATATATAAAGGCAACCTTCTTCTCCTCAAAAAATACTTTATCATCTTCGACGAAAGAATCTTGGCCAAAATCTTTATCTTCTTCATCAAAAGAATCCCAATCAAAGGATAGTGAAGACATCAGTTGTACTACAAGATATCAGGTCATCAAGAAGGATTGCTATAAATTCAAACGTAAGGAAAAGCTCTAATCTAAGTTGCCTATTCAGGTTTTCAGTCTAATTGCTGTGAAGGATGAACCTAAGGATACTTCGTCAGTGGTGAGTTGCGTCAGCAATGAAGTCCTGGTGAAATTAAGTCAAAGACTCTCTGTGATTGAAATAAACTCGTTTAATGATGTTAACTGTAAGTTACACGCATTGATAGATACAGGTAGTTATAATTCTTTTATTAAATCTTTAATTTATAAAAC